TCTGTGGAAATCTTTGCTGCAGAAGCCTGTGGAAGCCGAGCCATTAAGTGCATTTAAGATAGAAATAGATGAGTTCTTTATGAGTAGGGAGATCAAAGGTTATGGGGAGGAGGCAGGAAAATGGGTTTGAGAAACACATCAGCCATGGTCAAAAGGCTGAGCAGACTTGATGGGCCGACTGGCCTAATGCAGCTTGGATATCTTACTGTCTTACCTGGTGTGCCCTACACGTAACTCTGGATCCACAGCAATGTGGTTGCCTCTTAACTGCCCACTGAAACAGCTCAGCAGATCCATCAGGTGTGCCAATCTTAACAAAGCCTGAATAAAAAATGAAATTGAAGCAGATGGCATCAACCTAGGAACCAGAAATGACAATCACAAAACATAGTCCCGTTGACCCTGAAACTCCTCCTATCATCTGGGGGTTAGGGCAAAAACGGGCTGAATTTTGTCACAAACTAGACAGGCAATAGCCTGACATAGTCACTCTCACAGAATCACATCTTACAATGCCCCAGGCACCATCAATACCTGCCCTGGATATGTCCTGTCCCACCGGCAAGACAGACCCAGCAGAGGTGGTGGCACAGTTGGGAGGGATTTGCCGTGGCGGTCCTGAACATTGATTCCAGACCCCATGAATTCAAAGGCTGTAGGTTAAACACGGGCAAGGAAACCTCCTGCTAATGACAATGATCTATTCTCCCTCAGCTGATGAATCAGTACTGCACCATGTTGACATCACTTGCAGGAAGCAGAGATGATGGAAAGGATGTAGAATGCAATCTCAGGGGACATTCCAATTTCCAGGTGAATTGCAGCAGCACAACTGATTGAGCAATGAAGGACATTTCTGCTAGACTGAGCAGCTGGTGAGGGAACCAACAATGAGGAAAAATCATACTTGACCTCATTCTCGCCAATCTGTCCGTTGCAGACGCATCTGTTAAAAACATCATCGCCGAGTCACAATTCACACGACACCAGGTTAATTTGGGTTCACTTACCATTCCTTCTGGACATCAGATGGGGTGCAGTGACACTTATTCAAGGAGCTGGGGCATTTCAGGAGCAATTGTTCCACCTTGAAGTGCACCAAAGATTCACCAGTGGCCCGCTGGTGGCAT